TTTTACCTAGAGGGTTCCATGTGAGGGCTTTTCTCGTGACGCAGTTGGGTGCTTTTCGTAGTGTGTGTCCTATCCACTTCCACCGCTTCTTCCTGATTTCCTCCTCCACTGGAATCTGACTGAATTAATTGGGTAGAGAAATATTGAAGGTGCGCTAAGGTGTCAAAATACACTGCGGAAAGCACTCAACTGCGTCAACAGTCAAGCCCTCATTTGGAACCCTCAAGGTCAGAGGAAAAGAGGAAGGCCAATGAACACATTACGCCGCGGAATGAAGATCGATATGAGAAGGATGCAAAAAATTTGGACAGAACTGGTGAGGAAAGCCCAGGATTGAGTAGGTTGGACAATGCTGGTCGGTAGCCTATGCTCCATTGGGAGTGACAGGCGTAAGTAAGTAAAGTGTCAGTTAGTCAGAGTAAAGGAAGCTGACTCTAAGACGACTGGTTCCAGGTGTTCAGTCATCGTTTAACTGAGATCGGTTTATAATCTCACTGTTAAAGAACAATAAAGTGTAGATTGTACTGTCTTACCAGGCTATCACGTGACAAACACATCCCAGATAATAAATGCTTGGATAGTTAAGCTGAAAAGCAATCAGCAGGATAAGAAGATCAGAGAACTATGTCAAACAGAAACAGCACATCAGATTGTAGCTATTGTCTCAGCCGATTAGTCATGCAAAATTTCAGCTCAGCTGGCTGGTCTGTTTCAGTCCTAACCATCAATGAGAAGATCCCAACAACACACACACACACACAAAGGGGATTAAACTTCAACCCGGTTGTATAGGCCAGTAGTGACTATTTAGACAGGCGTAAGTAAGTAAGTAAGGTGTCAACTATAAGACGACTGGTTCTAGGTGTTCAGTTGCTGGTCTAACTTACATCGGTTGATAATTTCACTAAAATAAAAATGAAGTGTAGATTGTGCTGTCTTACCAAGCTATCACGTGACAGACACATTCTAGATAATGCTAGGAGAGATATGTTGAAAAGTAATCCACAAGATAAATCGATCAGAGAGTCCTGTCAACATAGACAGGACATCAAGTTATAGCTCAAATGACTGATCAATTCCAGTCCTAACTATCAATGAAATGATTCAAACAACACATACACAAAGAGGGTTAAACTTTAACCCCGATGCACAAGCTAGAAGTACTAGTTTAGACTCGATCGATAAAGGGATACTGAGATGACGCGTGAAGTGAACGATACTGTGGTTCTAGGTTCTGGAGTGAACATCCCGTCTGGGGTGTGACACGGACATATAGATAATAAGTCTCGAACAGGCATTATAGGATTGTGGAGATATTGTTGAGTTACTTTATTGAAATCATGAATCGATGATCAATGATATTGGACTACCACCATTCCACATCTGGATTCAGTGAAAGACGATCGTTTCGTCCTGCCTAATATGGGACTACTGATCAGTGTCTGTGCGCATCCACAACCTTCAGTCTCAAATCAAACGAAATGTGTTGGGGCTGTTAGATCCCCAGACCTCACTTTGATAAAGGTCCTAATTTCGGATTTTATGATTTCGCACATGAGCTGATCAGTTGACCTCGAGACTACATTTCCCACTCGGAAAATCCTTGACTATCAATGGCTGATGTATTATTTTAGTACGCTATTTTTTTGGATCTCCCGAGGAAGTTTCTCTGGTATAAAAATAAACTCGATTTGTGTGCTTGTAGAACCTCGATTTCCTGGGTGCTTGTAGAGTACACTTTATACATCTTATCAAGATTTCTTCATCTACTTAGTGAGGTCTTGGGACGCTCGGATTAGAGTAGCCTATCGTGTCACTGGATAATTTGTCTTCGCTCTCGTTTACCGACTAAGGTGAACTCGTAACAGTTCAAGCATATCAAAACGTGCATCCTAGATTTCACTGTTAGCCACTATCGATCTGTGCTAATAGATTGAAAAGAAAATTTAAAGAATTTTTTATGCAGTCATATAAATCTAATCAAATCAATATTCGTTTAAATCTATCTAATATCAGGTGCCTAGTTTATATATATATATATATATATATATATATATATATTCCTTCGCTAAAAGCAGGAAAGTAGAAAGGAGACTAAGCATTGGCGTACAAGACCGATGGTCCTGGGTTCGAATCCAGTTCTAGTAGTAGGAGTCATGGATGTGCACTGCCATTGTGATGACTAGTCCCATACCATGTGGGAAGAAAAAAAATAATCGGCCATCTTTCAGTGCTTCCAAGTTTTTAATGATGGCGCCCTAACAATGATTGATTCATTCAAGATTTCAATGTACGAAAATTGTAAAATTTTCATCAAAATAAATTGAATTTAGAAAGATGAATTAAATTTAAAACAAAACGGAAAAACAGCGTTTTTTATTGTGCGGATAATTCAAAACATGTTATTATCAAATTGTTTCATAAATAAAATAAAAAAACAGTTTGTCTATGAAAGAAATTATTGACTTACTACTTAAACTAATTAGTAGTATCGTCGTTATTGAATGATATTTTTTTGATTTATACAAGAATGAAGTTTCATAATGAAGTGATTAATTTGATAGTAGTCATTAAAAAGGTGATATTTTATGCCTGTATGAATTTTATTTATCAGTTAGTCAAGATGACAGTTGAGAATCGTAACACCAAATTGATTAGTATAGGAATAGTCTAGATTAAAGGTCACTATCAACAACAACCTACTGTGAGGGAGAACAAAGCAGACTCCTCCGGCTGAGGAAGAAATCAGGAAGAAGCGCTGTAAATGAATAGGACACATATTGAGGAAAGCACCCAACTGTGTCACAAGACAAGCCCCTACTTGGAACTCTCAAGATCAAAGGAAAAGAGGAAGACTAGAAAACAGATTACACCGAGAAATGATGACAGACATGAGAAGAATGAGCGAAAATTGGACAGAACTGGAAAGGAAGACAGAGAACAGAGTAGGTTGGCGAAAGCTGGATGGTGACTTATGTTCTATTGGGGTAACAGGTGTAAGTCAGTAAGTTAGTAAGTTTGGATTAAAAAGAAATAGTTTATATTTACAAATCTAAATCTAGAGTGCTAGAGTTATCAAGGAGTTATTAAGACCATGAATTAACTCCATTCACTATCATCTGGTCTAGCATCTATGATCAATAATTTTCGTTCAATGATGTCTACAGAGAATTCATCTAGGTAAGTTGGAAAACTGTGAATCTATCGACTTTAAAAAATCTTGATGAGATAAGTGACACATATGAACCTATGGAATTGCATTTCCTAACATTGTTTAACTCACTACCTTATGGAGATTAGTTATGCAGATGAAAAGCTCCTCCTCCGCTTGCTTTAAAAAAAATCAGCTGCTTCAGTCTAGACACTCGGATCGTATCTCAACCGACTTACAAATTCAATAGTTTTTGTATGTTGCATAAATATGAAGGTATCGCTTGATACCAATAATTATGTGTTTCAACAAAACTGATCAATGATCAATTGATATGAATTGGATGTAAACAGAAAGACGAATCATTACTGTTTATCATTAACGAAACGACAATGTCAAATAATCATTTTGGGGCAGAGTTTTGGAGGTTTGTCTTTTGACACATTTGAAATCATCAATCAATCATTGTTAGACCACCATTAGAAACCTGGAAGCACTGGATGGCCGTTTCGTCCTGGTATTAGACTACTCATCAGTGGCAGTGTGCATTCACGACTCCTGCACCTCATAGGATTCGAACCCGGCACCTTCGGTATTGTGCGCGAACGCCTAACCATCGGACCACTGGGCCGGCATCCAACGGTGTTAATGTCTAACTCTGATTGATCTAGGGATTTTGCGCGACCTCATCTATTTGTCTTTGGTAGTTACTGCCTACACTCCATTGGTCACGTCTTCTCAACTAGAACTCCGAAAATTTCCTCACGAAGCTAGTCATTAGTGAGCACTGTTACGATATTTTCGGGCAGAGTTTTGGAGGTTTTTGGGTTTTTACACATTTTAAATCATCAATCAATCATGGTTAGGCGTTCGCGCACTATACCGAAGGTCCTGGGTTTGAGTCCTGCGAGGTGCAGGAGTCGTGGATGTTCACTGCTGATGAGTGCCATACCAAGACGAAACGGCCGTCCAGTGCTTCCAGGTTTCTAATGGTGGTCTAACATTGATTGATTCATGATTTCAAATGTGTAAATAATCATTTGCTGAAGAAAATGCATATTTTGAAATCATAACTTGAAATTCTCACTTTTCTTTAATGAAAGCACATGAAATCAAGTGTTTCGATTGATCGATCGCTAGGGTTAGAGATAAATGTCATTATTTGTAGGGTTCTTGTTAGTGCTCATCGAACTTTAATGATTCGTTTGAGATAAAACTATTAATATTACTAATCTAGATTAATCAACGTTGCATGCACTATGCTGAGATGTCAGTTGATATGATTGGAGGTACCTAGTCAATAAGAAATCTTGCTTGACCTAGGTTTTGTGCTATTTGATATTCGTCAGCAACATATACCGGTAATCTTCAGAGAAAACTAATGCCCTTCCCGCTGATAGATTCAGTCTTGTTTTCCTGAAGCAACATAGTCAGACAGTTTAATCACTGAACTGTCGGGGCTGCGATTAACCTCCTATCGAAATGAACTCTATCTATAATTGAGTGATCACTGGATCACGATCAAATTTTTATGTGTGTTGGGTCTCGATTGACTGAAAATGGATGACAGAGGATCAAATATGCCGTCATCCATTTTCACTAACAGAGACGTGACACACATAAAATTGATTACATCGAATACTAACCACCACAGAATCGGTGAACCCACATCTTCCACACTGTTAAGGAGCATCAGTTTTCTCAAGCGTATAAGTGATGACCAGTGCCAAAACAACATGAAACATGGATCAACCAGGAGTTCCTGTTGACTACTTCCAAGAACCACTTTAAAAAATACTCATTACATATTATTTATATATATATCATATATATAATATAACTAACTTACTTTCAATGGTCTACCAACACGTACAACATCAATTGTCATTGTTGGTGCTCGACTACCAGAATGTTGTTGATTAACTAATTTATTTCTTAATTGTACCGTTTGTAATTGTGTTTGATAAAATGAATTTTCTGATAAATCTTCATCATCTTCTTCATCTTGTTCATTTTCCATCTTAGTTTTTTTGTTTCTTTTAGGAAAAACAACGTTTATGTTTGATTTAGTTGTAGTAGAAGTAGTAGTAGTAGTAGTATCAATGTTCAATGCTGTTCAATGTTCAATCTGATACATGATTATTGAATTAAAGTGTTTAAATGATACAATATAAAATCTATCATCATGATTAGTTGTATGTGTATATATATATATATGTAATTCATGTTTTCAGTTCCTTTTCCTCTCCGTAAACGACTGTATGTGTGTGTATGTGTGTGTGTGCGTATGTCTTTGCAGTGATTAAATTCGATGTTGTTGTATCCTATCCTATTTCCCAATTATACTGCACCAGTAATGTAGATATATATATATATATTAATATGTATATGACAAACAGAGAGATATATCTGTACACCGTACACACACCGCACACACACACACACACTTGTATATATATGTATGTGGTGTTGTTGTTCCCTGGCTTAGATCTGTTTATTTTTACTAACACGATCATCACATGTTGTTATCATTAAAATCTCTATGATATAACAGCTAATCAAACAACAATTACAACAACAGTTGAAAACAAGAAATTACATCCAGTGTTGTGAATTGAGAGAAAATAAAGAGTACCATATCACAAACATAAAAAAGTTTTTCATGTTGACTTGATTATTTATTGTAAGGGAATGGATGGATAACATGCACCACACACACACACACACGCACACACACATTTATATATTTGTACATTAGGTACATGAGTTTTTTTTACAAAAAGTAACATGAAGCTAAAAATGATCTATGGAAAGTGATAATCATCGTTAATACTACTACTAAGTGTTGTTCTAATTTCTTACCAGAACAAAAATTGAACTAGTCACAAGTAACGGCAGCTGCATCACCGGTTTGGATGGGTACGTAGGAATTTTAGTCCCGCTTATAAATCCGTGTGTGTGCGTGTGTGTGTGTGTATGCGATAAGAAGATTGAAGATGGACAGGCCTTGTATATTTATTTGACTAGAGATGTATCAGTTATTTGTTGGCATTGGGTGATAGACAGGCAAGAAGAGATCATTGATTGGTTCTGTGATTCGACATTTTGAACTGGTGGATAATGAATCTTTTTTTTTGGGAAATCAAAATGAATATGACAAAAAGTGATCAATGTTCAATTTGAAACAGATTAGTCAAGTTGTCAACTATGACTTTCTCAAAATAATAAAAAGATACAATGATTACTAAAATATCCTATTCCAAATCTATGTGACAGTAAGGCATTTTATTGGAACTAATCGTTAAAGTTATCTGTAAATCACTATCAGACAGGTTGAGATACTAAGATGGTGAGAAAAATTTGTGGCTCAGTAAGATGGTTTAAGGTTTTCATTGTTCTTCTGAATAACATCATTATCATCATAAACTTCAAGTAGAAGTGAAGTATTCAGATTTCTTCACACATAACTCATAGCTTGTCCTTTCATCAATGACAATTCTGATTGGTTTGAACACCTTGAACTTAGTAGTGTCATCTAGACCTACATTTTAATCATGATTTTCCTGACTGTTCGATAAATTGGATCAAGTAGCAAGCTTTTAAAAATTCCTTAGTGTTCATATTATTCCATTAATCCAAGATTTCAACATTTTCCCTGTCAAACGTGTGTCAACTGTTGTCGCCATGTACTGATATAAAACAGGTGTCATACCATTTGACTGCGAATTGATGTCGACAGAACAATCCAAAAGTCATGTATGGAGAAATTTAAAATACTTCACTTCTTACTTTGAAGTTCAAAAGTGCAGCAAAAGCTCCGCAACCAAATCATCCGACTAAGAGAGAACAAAACTTCACTGTAATAAGTTGAAATTCTGATTAATAAATGATCAATGATCATACGTATAAATATTGTAAAATCGCGGTACTTATTCATTGTATTTAGCAGTGAGTGAATTACTTGAGTTAAACAAATAGATACAATGAAACATTTCTGAATTTGAATAAATATAATTACATATCTAACTTCAAAAGCGAACGATATATTTATAAACTACTCTCACCCTTTCTTTTTCTCCTTCTGGTGATCGACTGGATTATGAAGACGTCGACATCTGGAGTGAAGCACGGTATCAACTGGACAGTTAGCACGCAGCTGCACGATCTGGACTTCGCAGATGACCTGGCTCTTCTATCTCACACTCAACAACAAATGCAAGAGAAGACGACCAGTGTAGCAGCAGCCTCTGCAGCAATAGGTCTCAACATACATAAAGGAAAAAGCAAAATTCTCCGATGCAACACAGCATGCACCAACCAAATCACTCTTGATGGAGATGCTTTGGGGGATGTTAACACCTTTACAAATCTGGGCAGCATCATCGACAATCAAGGTGGATCGGATGCAGATGTGAGGGCGCGGATTGGCAAAGAGAGGGCTGCATTTCTACAATTGAAAAATATCTGCAACTCCAAACAACTTTCAACCAAAACCAAAATCAGGATTTTCAATACAAATGTGAAGACAGTTCTACTGTATGGAGCGGAAACTTGGAGAACTACCAAAGCCATAATCCAGAAGATACAAGTGTTTATTAATAGTTGTCTACGCAAAATACTTCGGATTCGTTGGCCAGACACCATTAGCAACAATGCACTGTGGGAGAGAACAAACCAGATTGCAGTGGAGTAGGAAATCAGGAAGAAGCGATGGAAGTGGATAGTACTCACACTATGAAAAGCACCTAACTGCGTCACGAAACAAGCCCTCACATGGAATCCTGAAGATCAAAGGAAAAGAGGAAGGCCAAGAAACAAATTATGCCGAGAAATAGAGAAAGATATGAGAAGAATGAACAAACATTGGACAGAACTGGAGAGGGAAGCCTAGGACAGAGTTGGTTGTAGAAAACTGGTGAGCGGCCTATGCTCCATTGTGGGTAACAGGCGTAAGTAAGTAAGTAAGTACACTTTATTTTATATTAGGTTTAATTTTTTGTTACCGAGAGAGAGAGAGATCTAATAAAGCTTCAACAGTCTGTCAAATGCCTCAATGAGTATAGTTTATAAGGTATCATGTAAATGTAAGATATAAATGCCGGATCCGTTGGTCAGACACCATAAGTAACAACCTACATTGGTAGGGAATAAACTAGCTACCTCCAGCTGAGGAAGAAATTAGGGAAAATTACTAATAGTGCATTAGAAACACATAGTGGAAATCACCCAGCCGCTTGACAAGGTAAGCTCTAACTTGGAATCTTCAAGACCAAAGGAAAAGAAGATGACTGAAGAACACATTACTCTGAGAATTGGAAACAGATATCAAAAGAATGAATAACTGTTGGGTAGAACTGAAAAGGGAGTTGCGGGATAGAATAGATTGGAGAATGCTGATCTGTGGCTTATGTTCGTATTTTTTGGATCAAAAGAGCCGCTTATTAACTTCAATTTGTGGAAAAACTTTTGTAGTGCCTCCTCATATATTCCAGTTCTCTTACATCTAACTTGGTTAAGCCCTTTCGATTAATTTATTTAACCAAGCCATTTGTATAGCAACAACTCATATGTACCATTGGTATTTTTTATTATCTGCTTTGTATGAGCTTATACGACTGAGCATTGCTTACGCTTACGCACTTACTCATCCTTTTCGCTTCAATGTTAATCTCGTAAGATTCCCATGAACTCACATGATTTGTATCGTTTGCTTTTGACCTTGTCAATCATTCGTCGCTCTTATTCATGTGTGTGCATACCTATTTCGCTTGTCATATGTCTGTCTTATTTTTGGTCTGACTATATATTCTTAGTCATGTTCTATCTCTTTGAGTTGGCTCTTAGCCTTCACCAATTCGCTTCTTCAATTCGCTATGTGGTGTGCCTCGAATAAACGTATACGATACTTGGAGTTCATCTTCTGATTTATTAACCGTCAGACGTCATTTGGATAAGACAATCTGAACGAGCTTATTACGAAACGTACGAACACGCAGTTATCGGCACACTACACTTTAACCGTCATTGGTTCACCATCTCTCTCTCTCTCTTAGTGCTTTATTCCTTGACTCTTTCAAAGAAAAAATTGAAAAAAGAAGACAAACGAAGAACTGCACTCTGTGGTTCACCTTCTTGGCTTAGTAAGGAAGTTGAACACTTTTCTACGAGTACAGCAGATTGTTCTCCTCCTAGGAGCTAAGAAAGAACACAGACAGATGGTTAATCAGCTGTTAGTTTTGATTCTGACAAGTTTGTTTGGAAATTGTCATCAGGATATAGATTCAAATAAAGAAATATATTCTAAAGATGTCAATTGTACATAATTCTCACTAATTTCTCAATAAAAATATACAATTCACAAGAAAACTACAATTTCAACTTAAGTATCATTGAAATCATCAATCGATCATTGTTAGACCACTGTTAGAAACTTAGAAGTACTGGATAGCCCTGTTCGTCCCAGTAAGGGACTCAGAAGCAGCGTAAATTTACGATCTTCACAAGTAGGAATCGAACCCATAACTTTCGATCTCCTGCTCGAACGTTTAACCTCTAGACCACTGAGCCGGAATCATAAAACAACCATTAACAATACATGCGCATATAATTGGCTGTTCTTTTTCTACACATATCTTTTATTCCTCAAGACATTCCTGATAGCACTATGCTACAAGATTTATTTGAACACTGTTTTCCTCATACAGTATGTTGTTTTCTTCTCAAGAGGTAAGAAAGGAAACTGACAGCCAGTTGTTATCCAACTGTCCATAATGATGCGAACAAGTTTTGTTTGATAGTTATCATAACGATACAGATTCAAATGAAGTAGTATATTCTAGAAATGAACATTGAACAACATACTTTTTAGGTTTTTCCGAATTGAACAAAAGATGATATTGTGGTGCGAGCTACTTATAAGTAGTATATGACGTGAGTGTCAACGTCGTGTATTGCAGCAGAAGATGGGGGAAGATGACGAAAGGAAGAGTTAGAAAACAATGGAATTTGTATGAAACGCAT